CCTTTGGCAGAGAGAAAATGAAGTAACAGTAAGTAAATCCCTTCTTCATCCTTTTATACCAAAGAACTCATGTGTTTGCTCTTTTTTGCCAAGCAAAACAGAAAAGTTGTCCTAGAAGATCTTGTCCTCCTTTTTAATCATGATTTTTATGTCTTTTGTAATATTTCAGACTTTCCTTCTCAGGCTCTAGGAATGTTTTCTGTGGCTTAAATTCCTAATTTTTCTTCTTAATTTGGGTGGAGTCTTTATTTATCCAGACAAAAGCACTTAAAGTATTTTGAATTTACTTAAAAAAATTTTTTACAGGGAGATCATTATTTAGATGTTTGAGTGTTAGGATCACCAGTAGTATCATCAACATATTAATAATTATTATCAGAATTACCACCAACACCAACACCTCTGCTTGTACTATCTCTAACACGACTACTGACACCACCAATATCAGCGAGACCTTCACCATCACCACCACCACCACCAGCATCACCATGAACTGTCTCCTTACCAACAGAGCCACCACCACCCCATTACCACAACCACGGTCACCATAGCTAACATCACCACAGTCACTACTGTTCCTGCCACCACCTTCATCACTACCCTCACCACTCTCATCATCATCATCATCACCACCATTACAACCACCACTATCACCACCATCAATGCTACTGCAGCATTAGCAGTAGCATAATTGCCATGAATTCACTTAATCTTCCAACAACCATACTTCGATGCAGATGCTATTCTTACTCCCATTTTACAGATGAGAAAACTGAAGCATAGAGGTTGGATAACTTGCCAAAGTCCCTCATATAACCAGTGTTGGAACAGGGATAAAAAAATCAGGTCTTTTTGGTTAAATTACCACATTATACTACATTGCTTCAGTGTCAATCTTTCCCCATAAAGTCTGCTTTTAACCTTGGAGATTCAATTCTGAAATATCGTCTATTGCTGCTTTGCCATACAAGGAAAGTAAATTTAGCTTATAGGGAACTGTGTCCAGTAATGTGTCTTCCTACCACGGTAGTGTCATCTTGCTAACTTGTTAGATATCATTGAAGAGGGGGCTATAATTTTATTTCTACCATGGCTTCTTAAACTTTGAAACCACCTTTGCCTCCTAATCTGAGTCTATAGTCTAAGAAGATAGTCTCCTAACCTTTTCCATTCTCACTCAGCTATTTATTTATTTATTTTTACCCCCTGGCACTGCTGATTTACTCAAGGCTTCAGACAACATTATCAAAGCAATCAGTTGATCTGGGGGATTCTACAATTCACTCTGTGTCTTTTCCTCAGGGTCTTCTGGGTCCAGATGGATATGGACGTCCAGGAAGAAAAGGAACAAAGGTGAGACCAAATGGGACTATTTCTAGGATATTCTTAACTAAGCCTATAGTTTTCCTTTTATTTTATTTAGATAAGAGTTGTTTTCCAAGTGATATGCCAGGAATGATCCTACATACTATTTATGACATGTAGAAATGGCTGCTGGAGTTTCTTCCCTAAAAAAACCCAACACAAACAAACGCTGATTGTGCCATTCTCGTATCTAGAACCAAACTCCTTCCCGCACCTTACATGATGCCAGATCATCCCAGCCCAGTCCTGGGCATGCCAGGCCATTCCCTAACTCCTGGCTTTTGCAAACTCTTGCCTTTGTTTGCTGTGCTCTTTCCCACCTTCTTTCTCTTAACTTCTGAACTACGTTTTTATAACCAACTCAAGTATCTTCTTCTTAAAGAACCCTCTCTGGATTTTCCATAAAGGATGTGCTATACTATTATTCTCTGTGCTCCTAAAGTCCATTGTTCACATTTCTGCCTAGCCCCTCTCTGGTGGATTATGCTGTCCCGTGTCCCTGTGTATGTGTCTACCTCCTGATCTGGGAACCTCTTGCCAGCGGGATGATTGTATCTTATTCATGTTTATGAACAAAGCAAAGTAAGCAAAGTAAGTGTATTTGAAGTTTACTAAGTGCATTTGAATGAGTTATTCCTGTTCCCATAAGAAGCTAGTCTTTTAGCATGTACTTAATGGATCACTGTCGGAGGTTTGGAAGAACGGAGGTCACATAAAATTTGTACAAATAATGTGTCAATAGTCACCCTTGTTTGGAATACTTCCATCTGTTTATTACCTCAACAGGTAAGAAACCTCTGGGATGTTTAGCTTCTTGATTATAACCAACCTCTCTACAATCTCTTGTCTTTCCTCTTGTGGCTGCCTGGGGCACCACTGCCCTTTCATTGAACAGGACATTGTCCCAAACATTGTGCTCACCAACATCGAGTCCATTAATTAGTAAATATCTGTGGGGTGACTGAGCTGTGGGGGATCTTAGTGATCATTTAATCCAGCTTTGTCTATTTATCGAGGGGAAATAGCAAGGTGCACAGAAGTTAGATAAATGGCCTGCAGTCACATAGCCCATTAGAGACCAAACTAAGTAGCTAGTCCATGAGAACCCCACATCCTTCAAACTAAATCTTTCTTCTCTGCAGGAGGGTTGAGCTACTGACCGTATTTGGGGCAGAATTCAATGTGAAAGTTTTGAGCTGTTTACCAGCCCTGGACTAAGCAAAGGGCAGTCTACATTGTGATACAGTTAAATTGTGGGACACATAGATACAGTCCCCATTTGTTTGACTTTGTCTGGACAAGATCCAGTGATCTCACTTACAAGAACCTTATTGTTGCCCCCCCCCC